ACGAGAGAGAGAGAGAGAGGGAGAGAGAGAGAGAGAGAGAGAGAGAGAGAGAGAGTTATTTCAAGCACGAAAAAACGGTAACTTTTTTTCCAGATTAAAGCAATATAAAAAGTAGGTATCATACACGGAAGAACCTAAAGTTTATATGACATGTCAACAAATTATTCTTTTTAATTGAGACAAACAAAAGAATATTAAGACGGTGAGGAATAGCGGACAGAGTGAGATATTATGTACTTGAACTTCTATTTCCAATGTGGATACATATCGACTGAAAGATAAGCGAGTTGACCTTTCTTTCCTTCCTAATTTTGTGGAGACAATGGTGGTCTGATGATTTTTCTATTTTGCAGCTCTTTGGTCTTAATGGTTTGTCCACGGAGAACTGTCGTTTCTACAAGTCAAATGCCATTATGGCCTTCACCACATAGCATCGTCACGATCCTTGCGAGACTGCCATTCCAGACGTGTCGCAATATTCATTCCCAACAGAAGGCTATAGTCTTCACTAAAATTGAATGCTACATCCGAGATAAATAAATACATCATCTTCTAATACTATCCTATGCAAATTTTTGGGCAATTTTTTCCTGAAAAAAAACCTCAAGTTCCTAATTTTTTCCCACATAATAACTTTTTTATTTTCATAAAATATTTTTTTATCTTTTAAAAGATGAAATTAGTTCGATCATCCACATCGTCACCTCATCATGGTCGTCTGTGTCTCTCGTCGCAGTCATTTCATCGCGAGACCTTGCCTCTCACCTTACCTCCGTTTTCATATAGTTTTTTTTGTCTCGAGCATATTTTTACCCTTGTCTATTATTGTCAAAGTATTTATTTATCGTTATCATCACTATCATCAAACTTTGTCCGTGCCCTTGCTCTTATTTAACGCACTCAAATGAGGTTAACAAAAGAGGGTATGCTCAAGATGAAGACGACCACATGCAGATGAAGGTAAGGCAAGAGGTGAGACCTCACAAAAAGATGAATACGACTGGGCAGAGACAATAGCCGGTGGGACGAAGGCCTATAATAATCTCATCTTTAAGAAAACAAGATGCATTCTGAAAGGAAAAAAAAGATTTTTAAAAGAATTTATCCAGCAAAATATACCTGCAACTTATCAGACCAACTGTGTATATACACTTCCATCTAAAATAAATAAACAGAGTAAGAGATCGTTTCGTTAGTCAGTGGCATCATATATCAGAAATGACGTTTTTGCAGGCAAAACTAAGAAGAAACAGTGATGGAGTGTGCCACATGCACCATATTTATTTTGCAGAGAGACCACATACATTAATTTTTTTTCCAATAGTCAAAATTATATTAGACCACATACATGATTCGCAATGGACTCTACTTACAGAAATGTGTGGTCAATAATGCCACTTATCTTTCCAAATAACATACTGCTACCTACTGGAAGATTAAATATCAACAATGATAAAACGTAAAGGTTTCTTCCATGATACATGTGTTAAAATAGAATTAGCAGTAGAAGAAGAAGAAGAAGAGGAGAAAGTCTACCTACTTGCAGTTAGGTAGACTGAAAGGTGGGCACATTGCAATATGTCAACTAATCTGTGGATAACACAACCATACCTTTTGTATTGACTACTGCAAAAGGAGTTCGAGTTCCTTCCACTTCCGCAGACAGATGCTCTGATATCAAATCCTTGGAGTTAGAATATTGCTAGCTCCCAAGTCGTGTACAAAAGGAGCAATAGTCTCTCCTCTCAAGAATGCCAAATAACTCGAATCTTTGGTTGAGTCATTGACCCTTAGAGACGGGTGATAGGAGATTGACTGTTCACTCTTTTCTTGCTTATGAAATCCAAAAGTCAAAAAACTAAGGATTAATCTTTCAGTATCCTCCTTGCAGATGACTCGAAGACAATCGTAAAAGCTTGCGTCCGTAGTGGATCACCCATTCGGCCGGCGGCATATTCTTCCCATCTTTCTTTTCACTGAATTGTCCGCTTCAGGAGCTCATGCCAAGAAATCACTCTTTTCTCTTTCATGAATCTGAAGTTTGGATCAGCAGAAAAAAGAAGAGAAAAGAGCAAGACATCCTTTTGGGTGCCATTTTAGTTCTTTCATGTAGATGGTAATTCACGAGACCTCCATAATACATGAGCAAACAAACGCTGATGGCGCACGATGAAGAAGACACAAAAGCTGAGCCTGAATTCTAACACCATTCTGACATGGGAATAATAACTACGACGGATGAACGCTGATATAATGGAAGAGAGAAGATTATTGTTATAGCTAAACATTCTGAGATGGTTGAGGATGGTTTATTAAGTCGAGTCTTTCCCCAATTTGACCTCATGATAAGGATTTTTCACAAGATAATGGTTCAATATTTTGTCCTCAGATCGAGACACTTGGGACGACTTTGCGCCGCATATTACCATAAGAAAAAAAATGCAAGCCAAGAACTACCAAACAAATCTTCGACGCAGAGACTACCAAATCTCTATTTATTATTGTGACATGTAGTAGGTTGCATAACATCATCACCAAGTTAAGACATTACACCATGACCGATGCTTCTTTCTAATCCATGCAAGAGGCAGTACTAGTTGTTGGATCATCAAACTGACCTTAGGTTGGCTGTGTTCGAGTATGACAACAGTTGTCATCGATTAATGAAAGGCGTGGCTACACTACAAATGCATGAGACAGAATTAGTTGGATCGCAACCCAAAAATTATCTGTCAACTGCTCCAGAAAGACTTCACATTTTCAATGTAAAGCTTCACCCACTTCAAGAAATACCAGCAAAATGTGGCCTTGGTTTCTAATTCGAGAACCAGCAAAATGTGGCCATGTTGGTTGACACCATTATTCAACAACTACAGGTTTCAGTCAGGTAGATGAGAAATATCAGGAAGCAAATTGTTGTTTGGGTTGACAAACTAGAACCTTTTCCTCCATGGATTATGCAGCACTTCCTGCCTAATAACATTCGTTTGGTCAGAGAAAGTAACCTAATTCTGTAAGCATTGTGTCCTGAGGGACACTAAGACAACAAAAGACGACTAGATGAATCCAAGGGAGTCATCTCTGCTGTAAGCCTATATTTCTAGCAATGTAAGCTGTCCAGAGACTTAGGATCTGGAGGGTGGCAAGTTCATGAGTAACAGATGACAACACTCAGTTTTGTTTCCTTGTTTTCTTTTGAAACCAGTCAAACTGGGTCTCTAAGATACATCACATGTCTGCCGATGTAATAAACTTTTTGAAGATCAAACTCGAGCAATAAATTCTCTAAACAATCGTTACAGTTTACTTAGTATTGTTGTCATATCAAATCTTATACATCCAACCATCGAAGGCATCATTTGTTGGCTGAAAATTTTCTCCACCATTAATAGCAAAGTCCGATCAAATCCTGGCTTCATCACTAATCCCTACAATAAAATCTTATACATCTGAGGTTGGCATCCCGCGAACACTTTGGAAATTGATGAGTTCTCTTCGAGACACCATACTCGAATGGATGGCCTTAGTTTTTCTGGCAGTCATGTTCTTACATGTCACCTCCAAGAGCTGACTTGAGGGACCTAGGCATGCATTAAATTTTCAAGAAGATTCATTCGTGAGGAACACATGCTTCATGGTGCTCTCTATAATATACCTTTCAACCCACCTTTTGATTGAGAGAAACTAGCAGACGAGAATCACTAATAGTATGTCGAAATGAATGGAGTCTTGCAGTAGAATTCAGAGATAAGACATACTTTTACCGAGTTATGATTTGGAGTAGGCATGGAAAGATGGATGTGATCTCGAGTCATACTTGTACCAGAAGCCCTCTTGAATCAACTCTGTTTTCTGCTTTTACTTTCGGGAACAAATAAACAATATACTGAGACACAAAATATGCTTCTTTAACTGTATTTTAGTCTTGCAATAACCTGCTAATCTGCAAGACCACATGAACTAAGAACGGAGAAAGGTCAAGAATTTGAATAACACAAGAAGAAAGTAATCAAGTGGATGACTTCAGTTTGCCTGCAAAAATGACTATGCATTTCTACCCACAGCATTCTAGTTGGTAATACTGTACCACAAATGAATGCACGTAAGAAATCATCATAAAAATATGCTCCTTCCAGGAACTTGCATGTATGGAAACCAATCTTATATGGATTAATAGTTCAAACAGATACAAGTAGCACGATGTACACTATCCTGTTCACTTGCCAATACACAACACTGTAACACATGAAAGTACACCCACCAACATCGCAACTCTTTTTCTATCATTGCTCAAGTGATGTACTGTGAAACATACACCATATTAGCATACCATACCAGTCCAAGAGAACTCAAGAGATCCATAGCTGGGAATTAATTATTCGGTTTACAATGCAACGAGGTTATCAAGTTATGTGTCACACATCTCAAATGGGCTTGTATGCATATGTATCACACTAGGAAGAAATTGAAAATATGATGAATCAATTAAATCAGCAGTTTTCTTAAATCATTTACACTCGTCTGTGTTTTATCAATACATGAACAACATCTACAGATGCTCACTGTCCGACAACTATAAAATGAAATCATTGCTAACAAGATCTTGAAGGTACACTCTTTAAGAGTTTATTGACAATGAGAGTGGGAATTTAGGTATACACAATGCAACAAAAATTGGTTAGGTCATTTTGTAAAACGAACCTTCCAAATATGCATCTTCAGGTTACTTCATCGAGTTGCCCGGACTATTAAACAAATTTGGATCTTTCAGTGCCACCATCAGCCTTTCTCTTAAAGCAAGCACCCCTGCCATACTGGAGAACGTCTTTCCGTAGCTTCTTACTGACATTAAAGAAAGTTTATCAGGTAGACAGAGATGAATGAATGACATTGGAACAATCAATATCCAACAGAATTTTTGTCATGGACCAAGATACGAATAGAGCAAAATACATGAAAGTGATAAAGCTTATTAATATCTAATGCATAACTGAAGCAAATAATTTCTTCTGTGGTTTCCAAAAAGCTTCCAGTTAATTGAGATTTATGTTCATTAAACAGTATTTGAAGTGCTAATTATTTCAGCTAATCCTTGTAAAAAAATAGATTAAAACAGACTAAAATACTCTGATGAATAAAAAAATGGAAATACACAGTAGAGAAATAATTGAATGTTGACGAGTTTTACAAGGTCTGAATCAGTATAGGACTGCACCACAGAAAATTCTCATCTTAAGTACTTGGAGGTTTAGGCAGAACTATCCCCAATACCAAGGCAAAGTGTCGACATTTGCAGACAAGCATATGATAGAAAGTCGAACGCGTGTAGGATAACCTAATTATCTCAACCGCAAAAGGTATTTGAGATACTTCCATAAATGCAGAAATGCCATTGCTACCATGCTTGTCTACACCAGCATGCAAAATGTCTGCTACTTGACTTATTCTAAATTTATCTTGTCAGTCATTTCTCTTACTGCCTCAAATAAGCATCTATATGGTCCAGAAATAATTTATGCAATTCAGTTTAAAAAGACTACATAAAAGGAGTCAAGTTGATAATATGTTTATTGATACTTGAGTTCTTTTTACTGATACATATAGATCTTCCTCTTAGTTTAGTTTTTGGGTTAAGCACGGGGCTTCAATGCATAAATTTATTCCTTTGTCATGCTTCAATCATTCTTGGTTGTTCTATTAAGAAGACTTCAAAAATATGCATAAATCATACACTGTTTATGTCGGTTGTTTTCAATTACTACCTTGATGTTATGACATAATCCAATTTGTAAAAGCCAGGAGCATTGCCACTTGCATTAGGCTTCTACCACTAAAGGACTGGCAAATGACACAATAGATTTCTTTTTCTATTTTTCCCACTTCTTTTCCTTCGGTAAGTCATCATTTCTGGGCATCAGTATAATTGTGTCCAGCAAGCAGAAAACATTTCTCTGCCAATGACATGCACGGGTCATACATCAAGCCAGGATGCCTAAGCATCGGAAAGGGAAATCCTTGATGTGTCTGCACAGGCATCAAACTTGGAATTCCTGATCTTCACATGTTATATTCTGAGATGACTGTTAGGGCTTCCCTGAATATCAGGGAGAGGTAGGCATGCCAACTCGTCATGCAATGAAGGCCACACATATTAGAGCAATCTTCTTGATCAGGTAGGCACTAACAATAGGGCAATGCTAACAGTTAGTTCCTCCAAAAATAACCTGAGACAAAAGTCTGTTGGAGTAAACTGGGTTTTATAGTAATTGTAATACAGAAAACATGCGCAGACATTGCTATCTGTAGCATGCATAGATTTCTAAAAATGTACAATTTCTCTTTTAAACTACACACTATGGAAGCACAGATATGCAAGGTTTTGTGAGAGACAACACTCTTTTAAACTATCATGTCCACACTAATAAAATTGGATGCCATATACACCTTAGGCATACACATAAATTTCCTAGAAAGCATTCAAGCATCAGTAATCATTCATATTTCCTCATCAACAATGTATTCAATTTGTAACCAGCAAGGACAATAATTGCCACAAACAAACACATTCAGCCAAAAGTCACAGTAATGATATCCATGAAATGCTGAACATAGACAGAGCATAAAGGATTCATGCACAAACCTTTAATAGGTTTTGAAGGATGCAAAACAGCAGCTAAGACCCATGCAAACTGAACTGTGTGACCATATTTGTTTGACTGTTCTACCAAGTGTGGGCCTGTTTCATGTAACGGAGAGCTGACCGCAACATTGCTCTAGCTTTCCTATCTGGTGTGCATCCAGATGAAATCATTTCTTCATAGACAGCCGGAACCTGTTGATAGTTAATACATGAAATAACTTTTAAAATAATAAGTGATCAAATCTTTTAAATCATATCATATAACAGACCCATCATATGATTACTGGACACTTTTCTTTGTGAAACTTTTGATATCAAGACACAAATGCCATAAAGCTACCGATGACATGATATAGCAAGATGATCTAACATCAATAACAAGAAAAAAAAAAAAAGTTTAGCATGCAACAGTTGGATTCGTTCAAGATGTAAAATTAAAGTATGTGAAACCACACATTTTTCTCAATCAACTAAAACTTCCTCCAAAGGCCTATATGGTGTTCTCAGTACCTTCAAAACAACCAATGTAATTTGGTGACCAGCAGTAAGTCTATTTTTTATTCCTACACTAATATAGTTATTGATGGACTTTTCCTTCATGACCTTGGAAGTTGGAACTAGAATAACTCAAAGAAGAAAAGCACAGAGTGTAAGAAACTAACAAACAATATATTGTTCAATTATTAAAAGTCATAAAATAAAATAGTAAAGACACCTCATATTAGTCATTTTCTGTCCTATTCTTTGTGCAATAATTTCTTTTGAAATAAAAAAACAATATTTCTAATTTTGCTTCTTTTCATTGTTTTGTTGAGTGTTTCTTCCTTTCTTTCAATTTCCTTCTAGTGTGCACATTGTTATATATAATTCCCTTTCATTTACCCATAATCATCGTCTCCGGCAACCAATGGAAGTTGTTATCCTCAAAAATCATGAACTAAAACAATACCATGATAATGTATAAAATAGAGTCAGTTTTATATTTAAAACCAAAGAAAAAGCAAAATGATAAAATTGATGTGAGTTTTTAAAAGGACATTTATGCATAGCAGTACACTTATCTACAAAAACAAAATCATGCAAAGTATTACCTTCTCAAACTTCTCAACACGGACTAATGCCTTCATGAGGGTTGTATACGTCACAACATCTGGCTTCAAATCCTTCAACAGTAAACACAAAAAAAGCATTATATATGTACGTTTCAGTTCAGGACAAGTGACATTTGTGGGAATTATATGCTAGTGAATATAAGTCAAAGCAAAGAACTAGAAAAGAACCAAACATCTCAGAACTCACATTTTCCTTCATATATTGTAAGACAGAAAAAGCTTCATTATCCCTTCGATCCTCACCAAATGCATTGATTAAAGAATTAAGGACAAGCACAGTAGGTTTTATACCATCTGCTCTCATGACTCGGAATGCATTTATAGCTTGTTCAGATAGACCCTGAAAAAGGATAAGAAAGATATATCAGCTGTCTAAATCATAAATTTTTTAACAGATAACTTAAACAAATTATTAGTAGTACAGCTATTCTTTCAAATGATATGGGTATGCATTTTTTGGCTGTGATAAAAAATTTTGCTAAGCTACATATCTGAGGAAGAGGAAGATACACACACACAAGCAGACATCATTTAGGACGTTACTCCACAGAGTATATGCATTCTTTTCAACTACAAAAAGAGGTTACTCTGGTGCAGAAACATGATAAATTCAATCAGAATCTTACAATTTACAAATTTAAAGATTATGGTCCTCTATGAATAAAGATTAAAGAGTATGCCCCTGGTAGAACAGCATAGGGAAGCCTCACTAGAGTACATATTTTACCATGTAGCATGATAACACATTCTATCTTGAATAAAACGTTCTCTAGTTCCATCTTTGTAAGACAAAATAAACCATTTAATTATTCACTGATAAGTAGCCCATTTAATAAAAAAAATCATAGCCACGTAATCAAGGAGAGACTGGCATACCCTCTGTGCATAAGCATTCACTAAGGCATGATACATTGTAGGAGAAGGCTTCATTCCACTAGCTTTCATTGCTTCCAAGAACTCAATCGCCTCCTTAAACCTCCCTGATTTGCCATATACATCCACAAGTGTGGTGTAAGTCACCACATTTGGCAATAGCCCCTGCCCCTTCATCTTCTCAAACATTTCCTTCAGTTCCTCCCACTTCTCTTGCTCCCCCAATGAATTAATCATAATGTTATAGGTTGTCGCACATGGTATGCACCCACTCTGCTGCATCTGTTTAAAAAGCTCCATTGCCCTATCATGCCTCCCAGCTTTGCAATGTGCATCGATCAGTGTGTTCCATGTGATCTCATCCGGCGTGATCCCATCTAATCTCATCCTATCAAATACATCCATCGCATGATGAAGGCAATTATACTTACCAAATGTGTCGATCATCACGTTGTAGAAGTGTCGGTCAGGCTGAACACCATTACTCCTCATCTCCCTTAAAATGGCAAACGATTTCTGCCAGTCCCCCTTATCCCGAAGGCTCGCAAGAATCCGACTGAACACATAAGAGTTGGGTTGAACGTCATTGGCTTCCATCTCTTTGATCAAGATCCTTGCACTCTCCCAACGACCAGCATTGGTATACGCATCAATGAGGAGGCTATAGGTACCCTCATCTGGGGAAACCCCGCAACGCTCCATGTCTTCAAAAATGAGTTCGGCATCCTTTAAAGCTCCAATCTTTACATAACCTTTAAGCAGGGCATTGTATGCCCGGGTGCGTGGCTGGAGCCCGGACGAGTGGAACTCCAAGAACACAGCTTCGGCCTCCGGAACTCGGCCAGCAGCCCCAAGGGCGGAGAGGAGGGCGACGACGGCAGATGACTTTGGGGTCAGCCCTTGTGCTTGGGCAGCGGAAACGAGGGAAAGGGCTCGGTCAGGGTCACCGGCATGAGCAAATGCGGCAACAAAGTCAGAGAGGAGGCGCGCATCAGGCTCGAGGGAAGTGGAAAGAAGATCAAAGAGAAGGGTTTCGAGGAGATTGGGGTCAGGCGGGTCCGGTGACCGGACGAGGGATTGAAGGATAAGGGTGTAGTTGGGATGGTCGGAGAGGAAGCCATGGCGCCGCAGGAGGGTGAGGAGTTGGAGGGCTAGGCCGGGACGGCCGTTGAGTGCCGAGGCGGAGATGAGCGCGTTGAGCGTTAGGGGAGAGGGCGCGGGGGAGGAAGAAGAGAGGAGAAGGGCGTGGTGGAGACGGCGGTGACGGCCGAGGGCGTGAATGAGGATGGAGTAGAGGAGGTCGGAGGAGAAGCAGAGGCGGTGGCGTTCAAGCCAGGGGACTAGGGCGGCGGCAGAAGGGAGGGTATCGGGGGAGGCGGCGAGGTTCTTGAGGAGGGTGTGCCACACGTGGGCGGGGACGGCGCGGTACGTCTCGGCGAGACGGAGCTCTTCCGGGTCGAGGCTGGTCGGCGGAGCGCTTTCCTTACCGGCGCCGCCGGGGCCCTGGGCGGAGGCGGAGGGGGATGAGATGAAATCGAGGAGGGGGGAGAAGTCGTAGCGCCGGGAGTTGAGGGAGGCGAGAACAGAATCGTAGGTGGCTGCGGCCGCAGAGGAGGTAGATGGGGCGGCGCTGGCGGCAACGGTGACAGGGTCAGGGAGGTGGACGTAGTGGCGGGGGCGAGGCGACACTAATCGGGCGGCGCCGGGCGGCAAAAGATGAGGGACGAGGAGCATACTGGTGGGTGGATTTTTATGTGCGGCGTGCGGGGGAGAGGGAGAGGATAAAATGGTGAGCGGGTCAGGCGGCGGCGTGTGTGTGTCGGATCGGGTTTGACGGTTTTGGCGCATTCTACGCCACTCGAAGCGTGCATGAGATCAAGATTTCGGATTTGGGCCTTAATAGGCTCCCGAAAAGATAAGCAATTCGGATCCGAGATTGGGCTGGGTGGTCTCATGCAATTGTCCTAATAGTTTGGTCTTGGATCATTATATGAGGTGGAAGTCTCTTAGAAAAGAGAAAGCTCCAGAGTGTTTTGAGAACACATTTGAAATATATATTAAAATATAAATTAAAAATTTTAAAGTATATTTAATATTTTTTTTAAAAAAATTAAATTTGATTTTGATGCTGCATAGCAAATAATCAATGCTACCATAGCATTAGCATTTTTACATTTACAAGATTAATATTATTTTTAAAAATTTTAAAATATCATATGATATTATTTAAAATTGAAAGATCTATAATATAATTTAGTGAGAAACCAACATGATTCATGTCACTTATAAATTAATTTTTTGTTTATTTATTTTTAAATATTATTTTACATTCATTTATATTTATTATATATTGGGACATATAATTTTTTTATAAAATTATATATATAATTTACTTATCAATTTGAATAAAAAATATATATTTATTTTTTTAACAAATATTAAAAATATTAGAGGTGTCACATAATATTAATAGACTTTTGAAATATAATTTTACCGAACAACACATGTGTCAATACATATTTAAAAAAATTATCTATTATTTATCAAGCTCTTAAAATATTACATAATTGAACGTTCATTCAAAAAATTTTAATTATATATTACAAAATACAAATATGTTCCCAAACATAATTGTCTAGTGGAGCCCACCCTACTGTTTACTGTATACTAAATGGTTCGGTAATTTGCATGTTAACCTTTTCTGTTCTCCCGTCTAACTTCCACTATTATATATCATGTCATGTTGCTGTTGTGAAATAAAAAGCACGTGCGAAGAATAGGACAGCTAACCAGACATAACCAGGAATTATTATCTGTAATCTAGTGGAAGAAGGTTCTTTGAACAAAAGCATGAGCAGCTGTTCCCACACAATGTTTCCAGTTTCAGCTCTTACTCATAGCATGGATCACTCTTTTCCCAGTTGAACGGTTTTCCAGGTAATTCTGATGAGGATTTATTGCTTGAAGGTCCCGTAGGTGATCCTGATGATGTCTTGTCTCTGAGCCCGAGTTTTCCCCTCTTTTTCTGGAACTTGTCTAACCTTGCTACATTAATCGGCAGAGAGCAAAACGATACAATGGGAAGCTTGGTCTTACCATCATAAATGCCATTGACCTCCCATCAACTCTGCCCCACCCATGAGGTTGCATTTATGCGTCTCCTCTGTCATGCAGACCATTCATGCTCCTTTGCTCCTTCAATAGCCCCATTTCATTGTCATTTTCATGTAGAGTGTCCACTCCCAACCAGATGAATCAGTATACCTCAGCCCTCTGTTCGCGCTGCCAATGCACAGCCAGGCCCGCATTTGTTGAGCAGCCAATCTACCTTCCTGCGGCCTCACCATAACTTTGTTTCATCTGAACTTTGCATGCGGGAGGGCGGTTGCAGCTCCCACAGTCACGACCAAATGCGTCTTTCCAACTAGTATTGGCTGGTCTACAGGCCAAGGCAATGACTTGAAGCCTCCGCTGAGCCCCGTCCTGTCATTGTAGGGGTTGTCCGGTAGGTAAGGATGGGTGGAGGAACACATCAGAATCCAGCTCCCTTTCCTAGACGTTCAATGTGCTCTCTTGCATGTGAGTACTCGTGGAACTGTCGGACCTGGCGCTCGCTTAATGGCCCCCCAGGACGAAAAACACGGAAAGAAATTTCTGGGTGCATCTGAAACCGGAAATTATCTCTTAAACTTCACCGAGTTTGGAGTCTGACTTACCAAGATTTTTGACCATGCCTATTTCTCTCTTTCCCCTGCGAGTCACTCATTGCCATCTTGTTTGATGCACAAGCAAGTTCTATCGTTCCCTGTCTTGGAGAGCGAGAGTGATCTCGGTGGTCCTTGCAAGACATGCTCCAAGTCTTGATGTTAGATCGAGTAAGACGAACAGGGTGGTCCCAGCTTTGGGCATTCTCATTTCCTCAGCCAATCGAGCTTCGCATAACATGTGCAGGGGGTGTTCATTTGCAGCCTCCCTAGAAGATAGGCGTATGATGGTCATCTCGAAAGGAGGGGATGATTAAAAGAATGCCACCGTCTCTTTCACACCCCAAACACAAATCAATTAAAGCTATCCCGTGAAGGGGATTAAAGAACCGAAGGACGCAATCATTGATGCCTAGCACAGTATCATCCAGGAAGTTCGAGCCAAAAAGAAGGTTTTGTTCCTACATGAGTGCGGCTTGGAGCTCCCAACCAAAGAGTAAACAAATGACAGTGGCGGTCATGATAACGATGAACTTTCTTAAAATTAGATAGTTCCCTGTAGAAAGAAGGGTTATGGAGTAAGACAATGTTATCTTGGAATTGCCATTCGAGTGTACCTCTTGGGTAGGTGCTCAGATCAGGAGTAGCAACTTACTCGCAGATGTTATCAACCTTTCTTCAAAGAAGACACTGAATCGGTAAGAAATGGTATGTGCTGATGGAGGGAAAGGAAACAGAGGAGCGTATCTTCTGGAGCATGCAGTCGTCACCTAATTCAAGAACAAACAATGCCCTCTTTTCCTGGGCAACTCCCGATGCCAAAATCATTCATCTACCCGATGATTAGGAAAGAAAGTTTATTCTTTACACATGAATGTCTCCCATCATGTGCATCCTTCGATCGTGATCTTCCTGGCGTTTTAGATCAGTATTTTTCTCGGTCCATCTGCATGAAGAAGATAAAATACTCCTTACAGCTCCTGCAGAGCTAATAATATAAAGTCAAGGCTGCCACTGCCACACTGTCTTCCCCTGATGCATTGATCTGCGTCCAAGATCCCCGTACTGGCAGAACCAGCGGCTGTGTTCTTCGTGACTAATCTCAATGGTAAGAAGGCATAATAGGTTATGGACTGAGGTAATCGGTTTCGGACAACAGGGTGTTTACATGAACCTGTGGCTTTCAAGCCATTTGTTTGGTCCTTTGTCAATCCGAAGTGCCATTAGTTTCTTGGTTATCTTCTACTAATAATAACAAGGGTTAGATGCAGCAATAAGCAAACTTTGACAGCTGCTGACAGGTATGGGCTACAAGGATGGTCGTACGTTTCTCTACAGTTACATCGATTAGTTGTTTCTTGCTAAATAGTCCAAATACATGTGATAACTTTTACATTATTTTATTTGATTGAGATACAAATTATATATATATATATATATATATATATATATATTTATTTATTT